ATGTAAATTTGTGACGTGGGTACCCTGTGGTTTTTTCGCTATTTTGAATATTTCGTCATAACTCCTGATGCCCAAGGGTGCAAAAGTGGCATCAGTTGGATTATTGTAAGGGACCACCTCTTTGTTGAGAATAAACAAAAAAACATCATATGGACGCTAGTGCAAGGTATATCGGGTTGGCTACTGGACTATAGGGGGAGAAAATTCCGCGAGTCTGTCATTAAGTGGGCTACCTTAGTGATTCCATGCAGGAAAAGATGTTTGTAGAAGACCGGTCTGTTTTCGATCCTAATCAGCGAATTATGCCATATATGTTGTTCAAGGAATTGCTGCTCGGTTTTGATGTTAGCATCAAAATTAATTTCTGACCATATTTCTAAAATTTCTTGTAGAAATGGGTCTTGGACCGATATCGACTTTGAAATGTCACGTTTGTAAATTACATGTGAAGACTAGTTTGCCACCGTATTTCTTAAGTTCTACTTCAAAAAGTATTTCCATTTTCCGCAGTTAGAGTCGTCGAGGTATTTTTTGATCCAAACAGTCTTGAGCGATTTGGTAAATGAAGCGATGTCAATCATTTTTAACCCTCCATTGTTATAGTCGTTTGTCATGACACTTCGCTTAATCTTATCGCACTTATTGTTCCAAAGAAAGCTGAAGAAAAGATCATTTATTTCTTTGATAATTTTATGATTTGTCGGCAGCGGAGCTAAAATATACGTAAGTTGAGATGCCGCTAAGCTTTTAATAACTTGGATTTTGCCGAGTAACGTTAGCCGCCTATATTTCCAATTGCTTAATATGTTTTTAATTTTGTCCGCTTTTTCCCTATAGTTTAAGCTTAATGTGATATCAGGATAGGTAGAAAGCCAAACGCCAAGGACCTTAACTTTGTTTTCTGGCCATTTAAAATTCTTCTCGGAAGAAGTTTTTCCTTATTTCCTGCCATTGATCCAATCCATAGAGCTTCAGTCTTTTTACTGTTGAGTCTGAGACCAGACATACTGCTAAAAGTCTCGATCATCTTAAGTGTGGCGGATAATGAATCTCTAGTACCGTTAAGAATGAAAGTTGTGTCATCTGCATACTGGCTAATTTAATTTCTGAGTTGTTTACAGATATTCCTTCAATATTCTTGTTCGATCTGGTTGCTTTAGCTAAAATTTCAGCAGATAGTATAAATAGGTACGGCGAAAGAGGGCAACCTTGCCTAACACCTCTTTGTGGTTGAAAAAAACAACTCGTCCAGCCATTGTTTAGGACACAGCTTTCGATGTTCTTGTAAAATGTTTGAATCCAGGTTATCAAAGAAGAGCCGAAACCAAAGTGCTGGAGCGTGCGCTCAATAAAAGACCATTCAAGCGAATCAAAGGCTTTTTCAAAATCTACAAAGAGCAATAGCCCAGGGATATTTTGTTGAGAAGCGTAATTTATAATGTTATC